AAATATTATGTAAACTCTAACACAATATAATATCTAAAAAATCACGTGTAATGCGCGGACACAACACTCATCCTAATATATTATTTTAAGATATTGAACCATAATTTGACATTGAAAAAGGGGTACCGATCATATTTCTTTGAAATCTAGACTAACCAGACGGGTTGTTCAACAGTATCAGGCTTCAGGTTGACAAGCTTGGAGACCATGTCTTTCAAACAACTATTATATCCGACTATATTATTAAAAATAAAATTCAATTCCATGCATGGAAATCCAGCTGTCTGACATCCAGCGAGTTAAATTTAAGAGTAGACAATTCCTGATTATTGCATGTTTTGCTGTGACGACTAATAAGAATTAAGGTAAGTTACTCTTGCAAGTGGGCCTATTTTGCAGCGTCCGTTCTTTTCCCATGAACAACTATATATTGCACTTTCTAGTGTGAAATCCAAAAAAAAGGTCTCAAAGTAATTATACATAAGGTAGGAGAGTTTAGCGATCAGACGAAAGATGTTATCTACAAAGAAACACTCCAAAGAATATAAATTTTCTGATTTTAATTCATTTCATCACTGTGTCTCTAGCATTATATACTATACTTTGTGTTTTTACTGTATCGACACTGAAAATTTCACAATTACATACGTCATTCTCCGCTCGCTAAACAAGAACTCTATGGCAACCGTGTAACGCACGGGTATAAACTAGTATATTAAGAGAGAAACAAAAAAAAAGGGAGTAAATCATTGAGTGACACATAAGATATTATCTAATGTGACATTTTCTCATGAATCCAAAAAAAAGAACACTTTGCGTAGTTTTTAAAAAAGCCCGCAAATCTTTAATTAATTCTAATTCAGTAGTTTTATAATTATTTTAAAAACCTTTGCTTTAATCAATTATAATTAATCCATTATATATTTTGCTCATACAATCATTTTTTTTCTTTCATTCAATGAAATATTAATATGATCTTATTTACTTTTAGTGAAATAATGTTTAGTATTGTCGTCTTATTATCCAGTTTTTTCCCCTTCAATCAACTAAAATTTCATATGATAAGCAAATATTATCTTTTGTACTAATTCATTTCAGTTATATAATGCACACTAATATGAATTTCAAATTCATTCCATACTTTTAAAATTATTAATGTCCATAATGTACAAATAAGTCCCGCACGTTGAAGGAGTTTAACATCTAGTGTATAATTGGAGCAAAAAGTCCAGATTCAAGATTATGCAATTATTTATTGATATGCAATTTAAAATGGAAAATGATTTGTATAGTGAAACAAAAAATAGTAAAAAAAAGATAGTGAGTGATGTGGAGTTTTCTTATCTACTTTCTCGTAAAAATTTTATTTTTCCCTAAAAATTATATTTTTACTCGTAATTAATAAGTACACATATTTAGTGAGAATTGTGTATTTGTTTTTTCCTTAGTCATTATTCCGTTTCACTATAATTTGAAATGATAGAGACAATGAAAAATTATAGTGAAACGGAATAGTGACTAATGAAAAGATAAATACACCATCCTCAGGAAATATGTGTACTTATTAATTAAGGGTAAAACTGTAAGGATTTGAAAGGTTTTTAAAAAATTAATTCATCAAGTTATTTAAAAATTTGGTAACAGTATAACCTATTGGGATGGTAATATTATTGTTAAAAATTATAGTAACAATAAATTTTTAATGAATATTTAATAAGCTACGTGTGACAAAATTAGATTGCCTAATCAAAAAACGCAACATTTGTCTTGAAAACCAATCCTCCTATTAATATATACTAGTGTTTACCACACACATTGTGTGGTCAAGATATATATGAGGTTAATGATTTAACGATTATTTGAAATTTCCAACTGAGCGATATATGTTAAAAAAATTATATTAAGATATAAATTGTAATTGTGTAATTTTGAATGTCGCGTGTTTTGTTATTTTAAGTACATTTGGAATACTTTTCAATATTCGAAATCATCCAATATAACATATTATTTACCTTTTTGCATTTTATTGATTTATAATTTTATATTTTTTAAATGTATTCTCTTAATTTATTTATAATAATCTCTCCGAATATTTTTACCCGTGTCATATATCTTTTAAACACTCACTCTAATATGAAAATTTTTCACTATTTCTTTCTTTTTTTTGGTGAAAAGTAAATTTTATATACATATGCACCAAAACAGTGAAAGCATCTTTCAGTTTTTGACAGCACATTTTACTTCTAAACAACTACCAAAATTGCAGAGACTAAACATAGTCTCCTAACAACTAATCACTGTAGAGCATTTTACAATAATGCAAATCCTATGAGTATCATCTACTTATGGAAAAAATTGCAGCAGCATTCTGTCCACAGCTAAACTTTTTCTCCATCTTTTTTCTAAATCTGCATTGAAGCCCTCTTTAGATTAGCTTGATGATGTCTTCCGACGCCCTTGCTTAGTTTTCAAACTGCCTTTTGTTCCGTTCTTTCCACAAGTGATAAAGACCAGCAGTTACAGCAGCAAGTAGAATTCTCCTCTTCACCTTTTGTCCTTTCCAGAGATGTAAGATTTGATGCTTCCACCTGTGATCACACTGGTCAATTCGCCTGCAATCCAGCCAACTCCTCAACAATTCCAGCACTTTCTTTGAGTTACAACACTAAAAAATAAGTGGCTCACATTCTCAGGGTGAACCTTGCATAATATACATATTGGATCTTCTACCACCACATGCATCCAGCTTAACCTATCACGTTTCTTCCAGATCAACCAAGAAACAAAGGAGTGCTTTGGTATATGATCTTTAGCCCAGATACATTGAGCTTCACTTTGTCTTTCAGAACTACCTGATAGCCATTGGTAACCGGAAGCTATGGTATAAATCCCCTTGCTGTTTCTTTTCCATTTTAGCCCCTCATAACCTTGTTTTAGCAGCTCTTTCGTCTTCAAAACCTGCTTCCACTGCCAACTAGAGTCCGCTTTGGGCTGCATCTCCCAGACCTTTTACAATCTTTCTTTAGAATTTTGTTCGTATATTCTTCCTATAATATAGTGCTTAATATTTTTCCCTAAATTTGATGACCTCTCCTTAAATATTATTTTCTTGAAAATTAACACATGACTATCAAAATGAATATTGATTGGCGAATTGATTTTTCTCATCTAACCGTCAATATTTTTTTTTACATCAAATTGGTTTTTTAAAAAAAATTTTTAGTTGGCTATCTTTGGATTTATTAGTTTGAAATTTCTTTTTGGTCACCTTAAATTATATTACGTAAAAGAAAGTACTTATATAGAGAAAAATATTTATTATTAGTTTTAAACTATATTATCTTTGGATTTGTTTGGGCACGGGATCATTTTTTCATAATTTTATTTTTAATCCACGTAACATAATGGATGAATTGGGAGGGATGCGGAAATTATTTTCTTTTCTTGTGGTAATTAGGTAATTGGTGATTGATATGGTTGGTAAAAAAATATATTATCTATTATAGATTTGAGAAATCTCTCAGTTAATTTAGTTTATCTATAAATTTATAATTTTACATTGAAAATTATCATTAAATGATAGACTGATGTGGTTGCGACATGTGGACTTGAATGTCTAATTTTACGCCACGTGGATGAGTCTATCTAATATTGCACCATGTGTCCAATTGAAAACTGTCCTTTAATATATTAAAAATAGATAATTGGTGATTGATATGGTTGGTAAAAAATATATTATCTATTAGAGTTTTGAGAAATCTCCCAGTTAATTTAGTTTTATCTATAAATTTACAATTACATTAAAAATTACCATTAAATGACAGACTGATGTGGCTGTGACATGTGGACTTGGATGTCTAATTTTTACGCCTCGTGGATTAGTCTATCTAATATTGCGTCATGTGTCTGATTGAAAACTGTCATTTAATATATTAAAAATTAGGTAATTGGTGATTGATATGGTTGGTAAAAAATATATTATCTATTAGAGTTTTGAGAAATCTCCCAGTTAATTTAGTTTTATCTATAAATTTACAATTTTACATTAAAAATTATCATTAAATGATAGACTGATGTGATTGCAACATGTGGATTTGGACTTCTAATTTTACGCCACGTGGATTAGCCTATCTAATATCGTGCCATATGTCCGATTGAAAACTCTCCTTTAATATATTAAATATATATATATATGGATTAGACACACTTCACACGTATATCTGTATAATAATTTTATTACGTAAATTATATCAAAGAAAAGAAGTAAATTTTAAAAGATAAAAAATTATGCATCTCGTTGTTGTCCATTATACTATCTCTATAATAAGCAATGAAATACAATCAAGATTTGATATCACCACAACAACTATTAAAAAATTATTAAAGACGAAAAACTAAATTCAAAAAGAGAAAGATGAAAATTGAACAATAAAAGAGGAATACTTTCAATAGACTTGCGATGGAAAAATCATTGAATGTAGAGAGTAAAGAATCCAAAAAAAGAAAAAGAAAAATGTCGAAACCCTTACACCATTTAGAATTATATATTGGTTAAAACTTAAAGAGGTAAGACTCTTACTATTTTTTGGAACAATCACTCAAGTTGATCATTGAAGAATCTATTTTTTTAACCTTGATCGAGTGTGGAAGTGTTTTGCGAACAAGACACGTTCTTTTGAAACTTGAAAGTGTTTTGGGGATCATAGTTTTTTTCCAGATAGAAGGCAGGATTCATATTTTAGTATGTGTGAGTATTTTTTTATTTTATTTTATTATTTTTTTTGTAAAAGGTGCGAGTATTATTTATAAGAAGAACAGGTTTTCGACACCAAAAACAATATTTGGAGATTATGCCCACCTGAAAACCCTGCTAAATGAAACTACAACTTGAGCAGGCATAAAATCACAGAGACACAACTATTTGGCAGTTTTATCTGTGTATCAGAAGCTAGCAAAATTAAGTAAAATCAACAGATAGCATTATGAAGGAAACACTTTATCTTGACAATTTAGCTGAACTTTTGGAGATAAAACATAAAGAGATTACCCTTCTGTAACAAGGAAAATGAAGGATTGATCCCATTGATCACACTGACTTGTTTTATTCGATTTTTTGAAACATCTCAATGACTCAATCCAGGATTTTTTTTATTCAAAGCTCAAAGAGCGACATAAATCCGCAACAAGCTCAGGAACTAAACAGTTTCCTTTTAGGTTTCCTGAAGATGCCTGATCCGTAAGTGCGATTAATCATCTCAACCAGCAGTGGAAACTGCAGCAAGGAAAAAAGAGCGACTGGGATGACAGAGAAAACTATGATTGGATATGAAACCCAAGATAAATCATTGATCAGCATCAGATATATAGCTGCGCCAAATGATATCATCATGGTGACTATGGATATGAACAGACAAGCAATGCCAAAGATTAACTTTGTAGGTAAGGACTTCAGAAAATCTATCTCCGCGTATCGTGCTGTGAGAATCCCCAAGAACATCAGGATTGAAGTTGAGGAAGTGAACATAGCTAGTGCGTTCGACCCCATGAAGAGCAAGAAAGCCTTTCGTTGTTTTTTAAGCATGACTGGGAGTCCTGTGTTGGTATCATTACCACCTGGAACAGTGAAAGCTGTCGTAAACATGACTGCAGCAATGAGAGTCCCAACAATCATACTTGATCCCGCAGTATTTTTCATCCATCTTTCTCCCTCCTTAGCCAGCACCTTATGCTCATCAGAAAAAAGTGTAGAAGGCGTTTTCATATTCTCATTCTTTTCTTCCCTGCACTTTGGTTGAACTATGGCTTCCACTTCCTACAGAAAAAAGAGATGAGAAAAATTTTGGCGATGTAACAAATCAGAAAACATTAAACATACTACAGTGACTTTATACTGTAAAAAGGGTTCAGCTAATGTTCCCGCTCTGATGAAAAGACAAACAATTATCAGTGACTTTGGTACAGCAAAATGGCTCAGATAATGATCTTGCACTGATGGAAAGATAAATGCACCATGAGTTTATGAACAAGAGACGATAATGGGCAGTTGTCTTTCCATCTAAGCCACAGCATTTATTGTGTCATTTCATTATACAATTTTTCTTTTGAGTATCATTCTTCTAACCATTGGTAATCATGATGGGGAGCACAGTTACTCTCTGTACTAAGTATGATCCAAGGTTGTTTTTGTCAGCTAATAAGTTCATAATAACATAGCTTTCCCAGTTTTAGACCCCCTGTATCTCTCAATTACCACCCTTACTATCCATACCATCTTTCAAACTAGTTGACAGCATGTCTTCCCTGACTTCAAAGAAACTTCACATAAAGCATTATTCTACAGGGGAATAAGAAGAAATCCTACGGAACACGCCACCGCTAATGGAGTTCACTTTCCTTCTTTGAAATTAGTCAGGCTGCTTCTTGTTTTGCTCCTCTATAGATACATTATGTCTTCGACAATGTATAGAAAATAAACCAGGCTGTGCAATGTAGTAAATTTACTGCTCCTAAGTCTAAGATTATGAAGTTGACAAATTTCAGAGATATGAAAAGTCCAACCTGAAACCACTGCAGTTCCCTTTGCATTTGTAGGGCAGCACCTGAAACCCTCTCGAGTTGAGATGGAGGAGACATCTTGGCTGCTAAATGCAAAAAATTGTTTCCAAAAACATCATGTCGACGTGCAATTATTTTCTTTTTAGCACCCAAGGAATGTATAAGGCTGTAAATCTTCTCTTGCCGGAGTATAATTGCATGTGCGAAGATTGTTCGTCCCCTTTTGTCTTTTCTCCATATAATTTCAGGAGTAAATTTAAGAATTTCAAGGACAAACTCAATAATTCCATGCTCGATAGCATCATACAAGATCTTATCAATACCCATTGTTTCAAGTTGTGACTTATTCAACTCTCGGACCTCCTGAAAAATGCAGGTGAGTAGTCCCCTAGCTTCAGCATGAATTAACTTCCTGTCATGAATATCCTTGATATCTGGAACTGGAAAATGAAATAGCCCACAAAAGGCCACAAAGAAAAGAAAGATCAATAAACTGGGGAAATATACGCTGGCATCAATATAGGATGTTATGTAATCGATGACACGTACCAAGGCATCTCAAAAGTCCCCAACCCAGTTCTTTCAGAGTCTTGCGAACTGCAAAAGTAGGAATATACGAATTTGTAAACAAAGATGAATGCTAAAAAGCCGTTTAAATTGGTCTGAAGCTTAATCTTTACTAAAGATATTAAGATACTGAAGTTCTTACCAAACAGAGCTTAATACTCAACTCACGGAACATTTCAAAATAAAAATGGTAGTTCTGGACTTGAAAAGAATGTGCATAAACTCTTGTGAGATTATTGCTTACACTGGAAAATTATTTACTGATAAAAGAACATATTTTCTATATGAACATTGTTATTTTATAGAATTGAAACAAGTGCTGGTTCTTATAAGCATCTCTAGATGAATATCACCGTCCAACCTACCTATTATGTAAACTATTCAATTTAAATAAATATTGCAGATTATGTTCAGTTTAATTCATTGAAATATCAACCAGTAATGTCTTCCGCATCCTTTCATATTATATCACCTCATTAAAAAACCAAGCTAGAATGGGTCTTCAAAGTTTTAACTACAACTCTTTAATATACATCAGATAATAATTCCAATGGGGAAAATTAGTAAGTGACTTCAGTACCATAGCTAGTAAACCTCGCACCAGCATGCGTCGTTATGGCCATTTCATCATCACTGGAATCAAGAATGTCAATGTTGTGGTCCTCAGGATCGCTTGAATGCTGGGTTTTGGCGCTTTCACCTCCATGGGAACCTTTTGATCTACTCCAAAACGAATCAACCACTACACCTAGTTCATGAGTAAAGCAACAAAAGCTTTCTCCATTAGCTTTCAGATAATATATTGTATGTCAAAAAAAAATTGATAATGTCAAAACCAGAAATTGTATCTCAATTTGCATTCAGAATAATTTTGATGGATTTGGAATTGAGAGTATAACAGATGCTCACATGAGTAGATCCATTTCTTCCAGAAAATGAAATTGGTTCCACTAGGGAATGCTGATGGCTTGTGAGAAAGGATTCTAAGAGTGTAGTCACCATTATGATCGGGGATGGTACCAAGTTTTGGGAACCTTTTCAATAGCGTTGCTGCAACATCTACAGAAATTAAAAAAGGAACTAGATCACAGGAACTAGATATGAGGGCCGTTGCTGCACAATTTCACTTGAAGCTATTATGTCCGAAAGTGTAAAAAGCTGCAAAGACAGTTATATTCATATGCAAATGAAGTGCATAAGAAGTGTTAACCAAAAAATAGTACATAAGGAGTTTTATCCAGATTTTGTCTTAACATCATTATGCAGATTTTGCCTTATCTGATTATATTAAAATCTTACCGTGCTCACCAAGAAAAAAAAAAAAAAGAACAGAAGAAGAAGAAGAAAAGGAAGAGCTTACCAAAAAAATAAGAATAAAATATCTTACCATAAATTTCGGCCGTAATCAGACAATTCAGCAGTGTGACTCCATTTTCACCCTTCTCTGGACTTAGTTCCTCTTTTGGCGTTACCCTGTATAGATAACGAACCATACGCTTTTGGCCATATTGCGCAGCAACAATGACCGGAAGCTGCCCATCTTCTTGCTCACTTGCGATGCTAACTAACTTATGGTTTCTCTCTACCAACATCTTCGCTAGTTTTGTTGCACCACTGATTGCAGCTAAAGAAAGAGCTGTAGAGCCATATTCATTTGTCATCTCCAAGTCTTCTGGTCGCATTTTCTTTACCAACTCCTCTGCAATCTTCATGTGTCCAGCCAAAATGGCAATGTGAAGAGCAATGTCTTTATGTGATGAAATTCTTGCCCCGACTGCATTTGGTTTTTGTTCAAGAAAAGCCCTTGTGCTGCGCAAATTGCCTTTATCAATTGCCTCATACAAGTCGGCATAATTAAGGTATTCTTTCGATCCTGAGACAGCAGAAGAATATGACTCAGTTAAGCATAGCTAGACAATGAAATTACCTTATTGAACTCAGCAAGCAAGGCCAAAATTTAAGAGAAGGCAGGAGCGCCGAAAGCCAGAATAGGCCTGCATTTGAATTTTAATTTGTCACAGCACAGAAAATGTAAGTTACCGCTTCTACTGCATGTCAAGGTGTTGAAATATGTGAAGTTTCATAATATTGCTTGACCAGTCAATCTATATAATTTATGAATGGCATAGGAAAAAATATACCTTTCAGTTGGTTCAAGAGCTACAATCTGTAGAAATTGTCATCAGAAATTAAGCAACTAGTGGCATGGTGCGGACACTGGGGATAAGGCGGAAAAGGCTTTTATAGCTAATCATGACTCGAAAGTCACATTGTTTCATGTCTAACATTTGGGACTCTGAATGGGGCAATAAAAAAAAAAGGAATTGAGTTGAAGCTATAGAATTTCACTAAGTGAAACATGAAATTCAAAAAGAATGCAAAAGTAGATAAGAGGAAGAGAAAAACAAATTGAAAACCTTCAATCCCAAAGACGTGAAGTTGTGTGCTACCTACCAAGACATAACCTACGTTCAAACATCTTTCTCTCATGTGATCTACAGAAAAAGCCTCACAACATCTAAATTTCTTTGTGGAATCTGAAACTTCATCAGCAACCATGAAAAAGTGTGTGTTACCTTCATCTTTGATATGGTTTTCATCTTCAACATCAGGTGCTGTTATTTTTTTAGGGCTCTTTATTTTCTCAGCCAAATGGTACCATGCAACCCGAGCGGAAGTATGAGCCTCTTTAAACTTGGCGTATCTGCTTGCTCCGCATGAAAGTTGTATGGCATGCAAAGCCAGTGCATTCTTCTTCTTCCATTCTTCATGTTCTTCTTTCTTATCTTTACTTGGTTCAGACTCTTTCCCAGAGACGACACCCCAAAGTCCATGGCCAACCAAATAATGCTTTAAGCATATTTTCCAGTCCTCATAGTTGTTCTCAGTTAGCTCCTCGGGAACAATTCCAATCACTGGTTTATTAGGAATGTCGCCACCTGCAAGTACATTTTGATGTGACGGTCTGTATTTCCCAAAAAGAAGGTAGAAATTGGCCTAACTACAGGGTAAAAAAACAAAGAAGGTAATTATGATGGCAAATAACCAAACAGTACTTCTGCTTCAGGCCCGAAACTATGTCCACAAATACTGCAAAGCCTTCCAACATGAATATGAAGGAGGCTTCAACCAACTCCTTACCCATAATGTATATACTTTTGTTTTGTTAGTTCTTCAATTTTGACTACATAAGCAAAATATTTTACTAGCGGCACATGGTGAAAGATTCAGAGAAAACCGTAGAAGCTTCAAATAGTCTGTACAATAAAACCGTTGATCCATACCTCAAGTTATATTGAGTTTAAGATAGAACAGTAATCTGAATACCATAAGAATTGAAACAAAGTTAATTTAATTTTGCTCAATCTGGCAGCTATTTTGAATCCATGAACACCCTGATGGCCAGATGCCAGAGCTTCATTCTTTTCTCATTTACACCGCTAGATAGAAAATCTAGAGCCAGCACCATACAATTCACCAGTGAAGGTTATGATTATTCGGAGGTTCTAAGAAACAGTAGTAGGTCAACAACAAGAAGCCTATTTCTCACTATTTGGGTCGGCTGTATGGATTATATGTCCCTATGTCGCCATGGTGCTCGATCAATACACAATTCATCAATTAATTTAAACAATTCAGGTCATTTTTTACAATGCCAAACAGTAGTAGTTCAAGGCCTAATATGTATACAACAAACAAAACTGAAATTCATATGGTAAGTTTGTCATCATAAAAAAACCAAATGCCGCTTTAGTTATTTAACTCAATCAGATGATGGGCATAAAATGTAAGGTGAGTGAGAACGGAAAATGTAACAGAATTCATTTGAATAATGAATGTATCACAAAATTTTCAAATGGAAATGACAGAGCTAAGTTCAATGCAAAGCTTACCACAGCTCCTGAAGATTATAAGCCCAAAACCAGACTAGACTAACAAACTCGTTTACTTCCAAACCCAAAATTTGCAGCCCCAAAACCCTCCAAAATCCTTCATTTTCTTTTCCTCCCCAAAATTTCTTCTTCTTTTGAAATACACGGAAGCTAAGGGACGTCATGATCAGGGATTTTCGCAAAGTGGGCTTTTTTCGGAGATGATGAACAGAATGTTGATAGTGGGGCAAAGGGCGGGGACGATTGAAAGAATGTACTCCCTCCACCGTCCCACAAAAATAATCTACATTGAGTTTCGATTTTTGTACTATTTTAAGTACAAATTTGAAAACTCAATGTGGGCTATTTTTGTGGGAGCGGAGGTAGTACTGCAAAAGTTTGAGATTGCAATTGAAATTGAATTGGGAAGCCATTAACGGATCGAACCATAGGAGAATTGTAGAATAAGAGTCGGTGAAAATGAAAATCTCGATGGCCTCTCTTTATCGATTGGTACGAGGTAAATCATTTTCTGAAAGCTCTGTAATCTATTGGCATTTTTTTCCCCATCAGTTTCATGATCAGTTGAGGAATTAAAAGGCGCAATTTGGAACAGCTGATCACAATTAAGAAACACAAGAACAAGAAAGAAGAATCATTGAAAAATCAGTAGTGTCATTTTGACGGCTGGTAAATATTTTTAACCACGATAACTATCACACTCAAAATACTACATCCGGTCCTATTTTTTATTTATAAACTTTAAATAATCATATCATCCAAAAAATTTTAAAAAAATATAATGAAATTAGTACCTTGTCTCGTAAATAGACTAAATGATCCATAGTGTCCCAAAAAAAAAAAAAAAAAGTTCTTTTTTACTCAGGCGCCATAATTTGAAATAAGACAAACTATTTTATTGTCAAACCAAGGATTGTAGGGCTTCTCATAAAGCTAATTTATAATTTTATTATTATTATTATTATTATTATTATTAGATTTATATATTTCATCTATTTCACGATCATTATCATGTTTGTCCAATAAACATGATAATAATTTTGAGATGAATAACATATTAGGCCTTAGAAAAGGCACAGTGCACGTGAGGAAAAGTTTATGAGTGAAACTGAATGTATGCATTATAAACAAGCCGCGCTATATTGCAAAATAAATCTTTTAAAAAAACTAGCGAAAAAAAAAATGGCAGAGAAACTGAAAAACTCACCGGAGGCTTTCGTCATCCTAAATGGAGCAACTCTAGATACCCAAAATGAAATCTAATCAAGTCATACTAAGTTTACTGTAGGAACGTGGATTTATAGTAACATTAATATACTCCACTATTCTTTACCCACAAAAGATAAAGCCAATATGCTTCCTCCCTGTTTAAGTAATTCTTTATTCCTTGTCTTTTTTTTCCTCTTTTAAGAGCAGTAATTCTCTTTTTTTCCATTCATGAGTTCACAGTCTTGCTTCTTCTTGCATTGGTAAAACCTTACATTGACTTGTTCAAATGGTCTAATTAATTGCTCCTTTTGAGAATATATTTGTCATTGTTATTATCTCTCTATATATAGAGAGAGAGAGAAAATATATATATATATATATATATATATTAGTAGGTTTGGCTCAATAGATCTGAAGCATAGAAAGATTTGTAACAATTTAGGGGAATTGTTGCAAAAATTGTATAATTGCCTATTCACTTTCCTATGTAGTATTGCTTTCGATAAGAATGTGTTTACGTGGCATATGCCGTTTGATTAGAAATATGTCTTATGGTTCAAGTTACCAGATTGCTTGCTTCAAGACATTACAAGGATGATGAGCTCGTATTGGTGAGCAAAGATTCGGGAGGATTAGGTTTCCGAGACTTAAAGGATTACAATCAGGCTATGTTGAGTAAGCAAGCGTGGCGGTTACTAACCAATCCTTCATCACTGTTGGCGAGGGTTCTTCAGGCTAAATACTATCTGAATACTTCATTCCTGCATGCTAGCTCTTCTCCACAATCTTCTTGGTTATGGAAAAACTATTATGAATGGGAAACCACTTCTTGAAGGGCGAATTTACTTATTAATATCTGAAAAAATTTATGAAGAACAAAATAAACTTAGGGTTTAAATTATGGTCAAAAATAGCTTTCTCGCGCTTCAAACACGCGAAAAAAATAAAATTCGCGTTTTAAAAACGCTAAAAAGCAAATTTCGCGTTTTGAAAACGCTAAAATTGATTTTTCGCGTTTTAGAAACGCAAAAAATAAGAAAATGTAATTAATTTAACTTAATCCTAATTAATTAATGGTAAAAAAATTAAATAAATATCAATTCGCGTTTTCAAAGCGCGAAAAAAATTAAAAAAATATTTTATTTAAATAAAAAAGAAAATAGTCATAAAAATATGATTAATTTGACTAGTTTAAAATGTTATAGGGAAATTGACTTCAAAAAATTATTAAATTTGAATAATGGTAACAGAAAATTTTAAAATTATAATTGTTAATCATTAAATTTTGAATAGAACTATAAAGAGGAAAATTATATTGATAATTTTAATAATACGAAAATTAAATTTTGAATAAGAATATAATATTATAATTGATACTCATTAAACTAAATAGAGCTATACTAAATATAAATTATTAAAATTATGATATAGTTATTATAATGTATTAAATTTTTAGAACATTATATAAAAAAATTTAATAATGATTATATTAAAAAATTTATTAAAAATGTAATCATTATTTTATAAAATAATTTTATACGAAAAATTTTCAATAATGATAGTGACGTAATTTTATGGATTTAATTAGATGTAATTTAATTTACAAATTGTTTTTATTAATTATGACGGTTTCAATATAAGAAAAAAGCTTAAAATAGGAATAAATTTTATTAAATATTTATTATAATTTACCAACGGTTAAGATGAAGCAATTATTGTCTCTTCTTCGGAAACTTCACAGGGGAGACAGCAAAAATGTCGAAGCGAGGACGCGGAGGATCGGCGGGTAACAAGTTTAGGATGTCTCTGGGTCTTCCAGTGGCTGTGACAGTGAATTGCACCGACAACACCGGGGTAAAGAACCTTTACATCATTTCAGTGAAGGGAATGAAAGGTAGGCTCAACCGTCTCCCTTCTGATTGCGTCGATGACATGGTTATGGGCACCGTCAAGAAAGTTAAGCCCGATCTCAGTCAGAAAGAAGGTCATGCCCGCAGTCATTGTCTGCTAGCGTAAGCCATGGCGCCGAAAGAACGGTGTCTACATGTACGTTGAAAATAATGCTAGAGTGATTGTTAATCCCAAGGGAAAAATGAAAGGTTCTGCAATCAATGGTCCCATTGGAAAGGAGTGTGATGATCTTTGGCCTCGGATTGCAAGTGCTGCCAATGCGATTGTTTAATGCACCGCATATTAATTTTGAAGAGAACTTTAGTTTACTGAATGTTTGTTTTAGGTATCTGGTACTATTCTTTTGTGGATGTGGTAATTTTAATAGACGGCTGGTATGTAAGAATTACATCTTTTGTTTGGATAAACTAAATATTTAAAAAAAAAAAAGATGAAGCAACTATTAATTATGAAAAAAATATAAGAAAGTTTGAAGATGTGTTTCGATTTGATCGGCGAAGATGTGTTTTATAAATATTAATTATTGTATTTACGATGCAGGTGAAATCAAACTATTAAGAATATTAATACAAGTCATAACAAAATACTACAAGTCATAACAAAAGGTAAAAAAAATAAAACAAGTCATAACAAAAGGAAAAAAAACATAAATGAACAAAAGGAAAAAAAAATACAAGTCTAATAATACTACATAAAAAGTCTAGTATCCTACTTCTTCTTGGGCTTTTTAGCCCGAAAAAGGCTATAAGTCAATCTATCGGGCTCCTTCGTCACTCTCTGGCCTTTATTCACAGCCAACGGTGGAGTCCCTAGAGTCTGACTCGATCCCTGCTCCTCATGGCGCTGATAACCCTGACCCTCAAACTGATCATCCTGGTCTGCATCCTCAGCCTCATCCTCAGCCTCATCTTCATCCTGACTCTCACGCTCACCTCCAGCTGGGTCATCAGCCTGATGCTGACCCGCAACACCCTCGAACATACTCGAAAGAAAGTTACTCGTGTAATGTATCGACTAGCTATCTAGCGAACTCTGCTGAAACCCAGAAAAGTCAATAAAAGAATCTCCAAACTGAGGCTGAGAAGTCTGAGGGGAGGAAAACTGAGTGAAGGCAAAATGGGACTGCTGGTGCTGGGGAGACATAATCGGACGGTAAAACGCTTGTTGGGTCGGCGAAGAATGATGTGGAGACTGAAGGGATGAATGATGTGGAGATGATGGGATGAATGATGTGGAGAATGATGTGGAGACTGATGGGATGAATGCTGTCGAAAATGGAGTGGAGACTGATGTGGAGACTGATGGGATGAACCGCCAGTGAAGGGAATATGAGACTGCTGATGCTGGGAGGACTGATGTGGCTGAGTGGATGTGATTGTCTCTTGCCCCCCACGCCCACGCTGAGACCTGCGCGAACGCCTCGGAGGTCTGGGTGGTGGATGTTGCTGGGTCGGGTCTACAGGTGCAAGTTCTTGACTCAAAATATCATTAACCTTAACATGCCTATCGAGATCGTGACGTACAACATTCGTTGCATTGACGGACAACGCCCGCTCAGCAACCTGGGCAAGTTTGCTTTAACATGCTCTAGACAATACCGGTGGACTCCCATCTCTGGGAATTTTTGCAACAGTAAGGATACCCTGATTTCGATCAGAGATAATACAGGTCTTCCTATCCTGTAGAACAAACTTTTTCAAATACTTCAAAAACTATTTCCCGTTGTGTATAGTCTCTTCGTCCACAAGAGCAAATGCGATGGGAACAATTGTGCCATTTGCACACTTTACGCATGCCACAATTAGTTTTCCTTTGTAGGATCCTCGCAGGTGAGTGGCATCAATGGTTATTACTGGCCAGCAAGCATGAAATAACTGTATAGATGGCCCAAATGCCCAGAAAACATACCTACATACAAACCTTTGCGAGCTTCCTGAATTTTCCTTAAACTTGAATTGCACACAAGTATCCGGGTTTGACATGAACAATGCATCGAGGAAGCTGGGCAGTTGTTGAAAATTACTTTCCCATGTACCATACAGAGCCTCAAGTGCTTTTCTTCTACCATGCCATGCCTTCTTGTAGCTACATTCGACTTGGTACCTCTTTAAAACTTCTATTTGAATTTGGGCAACTGCAAAATCTGGAGGTTTTCGCACATTTTGGGCAACTAGTCTAGCAATCATAGAAGGCGTGACGTTTCGGGACTCGTTTCTCTTGTTTTCCCCAAGACAGTTGTGGGAATCGGACCATACCACCATTTTCCAAGTATCGGTGGCCTTCTGTAGCGAAACTCGCGCCTTCCACAGGCAATCATAGCCGTGAAGACGCTCTTTCGGATATTTGGGTCCACAGGTCTCGCATTCGACATACCACGTTCGTTTAGAGCTCGTTTTCACCCGGAAAGTCCGACCATGTACCAAGTTCCATTCTCCCACTGCCGCTTGTGCCTCAGGCTTGTTGGCGAAATGTATATCAAGGCCTAGCGTCAACGGATTGCCATCCCACATTTTAATCCCATCACAATCTACTTCCTCTAAAGTCTTGTCCCATCCACTTATGTCGTCGAAAACATATGGGACTGAAGAAGATGACTCAAAATCAGTGTCGTCATCTGAGTCCTCATCCGATGGGACGTACTCATCATCACTGCTTTCGACACCCCCGCCATCTTCATCTTCATCTGCATCTTCATCTTTATCTTCATCTTCATCTCCATCTTTATCTCCATCTTTATCTTCATTGTCTTCAACTGTTCTACCACCATTAGTGCTGGCACCAATATCCTGGCCAGATGTACTTGCATAAACATGGCCTGTTCTCTCAATATTTTCAGGGTACAATTCTGGCCATTTATCAGCACAAAGATAAATGAACCGAACAGTATTATCATCATTAATGTGCACACGAGACCTTTTTCCTGACCTCTCCGTCCATACCAAAGAAAAATCAATATACAGCCCTTCTCTATCAACTTCCATCACACCACATACCTTATCAACAAGTTCTGAGAAATCTAACATACGATCAATGATAAGATAACTGTCCGGCGCATCCCGCTGTACCGTGATAGTCCCATTAGGTTCAGTTGTATAAGTAGTATTCCAGTATACTTTCAGACGAACTGTCTCCGTGAAAGACATTTGCGGCCTGCAAAATCAA